CTCCCGCCGGGCCCCTTCCATCAACACCACTAAACTTGCTTCACTGAACATGATGGCTTATTGACACAGGCTGGCTACATCTAGACTGGCCCCTTCTCCGGAAGAGGCATGCAAAGCAGGCAAGTCAGAATAGGGAAATCCGCAGGGGATTTAAATATCCCTCGCGGGATTTAAATAAACCTGGCCGCCGCTTTTTTCCCAGCTTGGGGAAAAGCCGGAAAAGAGCGTCTAGACTGGCGCGATCCTCCGGAATAAAGCCCTTTTCAGGAGGATCTCTTATTCCTACTTGCAAGTATTCTGACTTCCCTGCTTTGCATGCCTCTTCCGGAGAAGGGGCCAGTCTAGACGTAGCCGCTATATCTACACTACAGAGATTTTGCAGAAAAACAGCTGTTTTTCCGCAAAAACTCACAGAGCGTGCACACTTCAAGTGCTTTTTTGTGCAAGTAAATCGAAAGATCAGAGGGGTTTTTGCACAACTGGTAATCCTCATTCTATGAGGAAGAATGCCTTATTGCACAAGAGCTGTAGCACAAAAAGGTGTACGTGGACGGGAAAGAGGGCTTTTTTGCACAAGAAAAGGGAGGAGGAAAAAGCACAGGTGCCCTGGTGGCAATCCTGTCCATAGCAATCACTGCTTACTTGCAAGAGAGCATCCAGGCAGTCTGGACGCTCTCTTTCGCAAAAGTGCATTGCTTTTTTGATGCACTTTTGCAGTGTGGACACTGTCTTGCGCAAGAAGCCTACACTGTCTTCCGACAAAAACTTCTTGCACAAAAAGCCTGCAGTGTAGACATAGAAGAAAACCCCTTTTTCCTCCAGACTGCATGAGAGACCTGACAGTGATGGGCAGCCTGTGGGTCATATGCAGCCCATCAGGGCTCTATGTGTGGCCCCTAGGACATTGTGTTTGGTGTTGCTCATGTGCAAGGTTGCCAGATTCTGCCGGCATAGTTTTTTTCTCTATTGGGATGACCAAAGTCGCACATTTAAAGCAAGGGCGAGATAAGGTGCATGCTGATTGCACATAACATTGACAGTGAGCGCTATGAACATCCAATCATCCAATCCAAGCGCTGCTGCGGTTCATTCGGCACACCTCCTAAATTCTAGGTACGCAGTTAGCAAAAGTGCTGGGAGACCATCTTGGTTAAACAATCTTGCAGCCCACTTGTGTGGCCCACTCACTAGCCTACATTGCCAGTGCCTGCCCCAGGAGAACCGCCAGCTCCTGTCTCATCATGCCCTTCCTATCAGCATTCAGCCCCCATCCCACCGGCTTCCTCCATCATTCCTTGGCCACTGTCCCCTCTTCCTCATGAGCCCCCTTCCCTTTCCCTGCCCATCAGCCCCCCATTCTCCTCCCCCACCTCCTGAGCCCCCTTCCTCCTCCCCCAGACCCTCCCTTTCCTGTGCCCTCAGCTTTCCCTGCCCATCAGCCCCTTATTCTCCTTTCCCCCTGAACCCCCTTTCCCCTCCTATGGCCCCACTCCTCAGCCCCT